AGCTAAGACCAGGCTGGAAATGGCTGGAAACCAGCCTGGAAGTGGCCAAAACCCCTCTAAAACCAGGCTGGTCGACCAGCTAAAACCAGCCAACCAGCCTAGGCTGGTTTAAGCTGTTTTTTTCAGTAGGGGTGTGATCATTCTCTGTGTAAATACCTACTGCACAATCCAAGTTTTGATTGATGTCTTTGGGACCAGTAGTTTTTCAGAAAAGTTGGGAAATGTACCGCCAATGCACAAGTACGGAAGATCAGCTTGACCAGCTTAGCCAGGCTGGGAGCCCAGCCAAAACCAGCTATGTCCAGCTTAAACCAGGCTGGTCAAGCTGGTTTTAGCTGGATTTAGCTGGTCATTTTCCAGCCTGACCAGCTAAGACCAGGCTGGAAATGGCTGGAAACCAGCCTGGAAATGGCCAAAACCCCTCTATACCAGCCTGGTCAACCAGCTAAAACCAGCCAACCAGCCTAGGCTGGTTTAAGCTGGATTTTTCAGCAGGGATGGCATTTAAACTCACATTGTTTGCATTTAACACTGAATAAAGCACATGAGGTGTACCTGAGGTAAACAGCACTGTCAGTTTATCTTATTGTTCAGCTGTGAGAAATAGAAGCCGTTTCTAAAATATAAATTTCAGGTCTTGGTTAGAACAAAAACTCTTTTAATATGGAGAATATTCCTTCTATCGCGTGCCGTTGCTTGTATTTAGAACACGGTTTATATCAGCCTTTACCGTTCTACTCGCTCCTGTTGATCAATCTGGCAACCTTTGCATTTGTTTTGATTCAGGAATGTAATACCTAGTTCAACCACGGGGTGTCAAACTTACATACCGCACCTTTAAAAAAAGTCTTAAATTGGACTTGGTGAGACCTGCGGAAACCCTGTTGCAAGGATTACTTCAAAGAATAGTCATGGTTCTTTCTTTAAAGAGTTCTTCATTTGTATGTTCAGGTGTCTGAGGCAAAGGTAAAAGCAGACGAAGCAAAGCTAAATGCTCAAGAAGTGCTGGCGAAGACCAATGAGACCAAGAAACGCGTAGATAGCAGCAACGAGGAGCTCCGCCAACTCATCAAACAAATCCGAGATTTCCTCACTCGTAAGACGCACTCAGAAAATATCCTTGAGATCAGTTGTTTGGGTGATCACTTTTTTAAACTCTTCCTTAATGTGGCTCTCCAGAAGATGGAGCGGACCTGGAAAGCATCGAGGCTGTGGCCAATGAAGTCCTGCAGATGCAGATGCCCACTACACCAGCCCAGCTGCAGAACCTGACTGAGGAGATCAGGGAGCGGGTGGGCAGCCTGACAGATGTTGAAGACATCCTCAACCAGAGCGCCGCAGACATTCTGAGGGCAGAGAGCCTGCTGGAACAAGCCCGCAAGGCCAGGTCTGAGATATATACATCATATACAGTGCTCAGCATGGAGGCCGGTTTATAGGGGAATTACCAACCTATGTCACACATGACATCACACGGGTTGAATCGCGCATAGGGGTTGCAAATAAAGAAAATAGCAAAAGCAAGTATGTCTCGTTGTGTGGTAGGGTGCCAAATTTGAAAAACTTAATTTTTACCGTACACCACATCGCTTTTAATGCCAACCGCAGATGTCTTTGGCTAAATGCCATCATATAAGATCTGAATAGAGTGATTACCTAACTAAAAATGCTGGACTCTGCAGTTCTCATGTTATATCAGGTAAGTTCCCGATATGCTGAATCATACACATTACTCGTTTTTGATAGCAGCAATGATTTCAGCAAAAACAGGTAAATATGGTTATTAAACTGCGCACACTGAAGGCGTAGAATGAAATGTAAAAATGTAAGTTCACACACTCTGCCGTTGTAACGCCGGGGAGTGACACCAACAACAGAAGGTAGGATCCAATATGCAGGTTTTATTCACAGTCAGGCAAGCAGTGGTCAATACGGGAGCAAACAGATATATGTAGACAATCCAGAATCGTAGTCAGTAAACAGGCAATAGGTCGTAAGGCAGGCGGCTAAACAGGATAACAAGGATAAACAGGGCTAAGAACAAAACACGGGAAAACAAGACCAGGATAACGCGTTGTAATGTCACCTTACAGATAAACAAGACTCGGCCAACTGAAGGGGTGAATGTGTGGCTTAAATACTGTGTGTAATCAGTCTCTGAAAGTCCTCAGGTGTGAATGTGAATCAAGCTAAATGAGAAAGCAGGTGTGTGGGCGAAGAGCATGTATGAAGTTGTAGTCCAGGAAAATTGTAGTTCTAAGTGTATGTGTGTTTGCCAGCGACATCTGGTGGTTGTTCGCTGGTAAACATGACAGCCGTACAGGTGCATTTCATTGTCAGAATGCAGTTGTTTTGCTTGTTAATGATTACCCAGGCCTTGTACAGCTCCATCTTCTTTCCTTGTCTTTGGCTAGGCAGAACCTCGGTTTTTAGCACTCCTAGTTTTGAACCTGGTCATCATGGAGCATTATTTCTTGCACATGACCACCACACAGAACAATTGTAGGCATCCAAAGACTTATAGGCCTTTAACTTATCTCTTGTAAAAATCACATGGAGTTTCAATGAGACAGTTGTATATTTGGGGCTGGATGCTTGGCCATTTCGTCTTATCTAATATCCATTGGGAGGGTGCTATCGCAAATGGACCTGTCAGATGAACGGCGCACACTTTAACATTAATTTTGCCGAATAACTGTGCTTATCACTGGGTCACAAGATGTTATAATACACTGAAAGCATTATGTAAATAATATAATATGCAATCAATATAACTTATCTCAAAGACAACAACAAACTCTTTACCACATGGGATGTCATTCCCTCGCTGTAAATGCTAGCACTCATGTTTTTTTTTTCTGCCACCTCCCTGCGCGCACATCCTGAATGTTTATTCATTCATTAATTCATTTTCTTTTCGGCTTAGTCCCTTTATTAATCCGGGGGCACCACATCAGAATGAACCGCCAACTTATCCAGCCGCAACCAGTAGAAACCGGGGCTCAAACCAGCGACCTTCTTGCTGTGAGGTGATTGTGCTTCCCACTGCGCCACCATGTTATTTAACAAGTTATTAGGTTTAAAGATTAAACATGTATTCAAATAAAGATATATTCACGTTAACAATAATTCCTTAAGTGTTTAACAAAAAGGATATTTCAAGGGACAATATTATTTATCAATCAATCAAAAAAAATATCATCAAAATATTTGTCAGTCAAATGCAGTGGCGCAGTAGGTAGTGCTAGGATGTCTCCTCACAGCCAGAAGGTCGCTGGTTCGAGCTTCGGCTGAGTCAGTTGGCGTTTCTGTGTGGAGTTTGCATGTTCTCCCTGCGTTCGCGTGGGTTCCCCCGGGTGCTCCGGGTTTCCCCCACAACCCAAAGACATGCAGTACAGGTGAACTGGGTAGGCTAAATTGTCCGTAGTGTATGGGTGTTTCCCGGAGATGGGTTGCAGCTGGAAGGGCATCCGCTGCGTAAAACATGTGCTGGATAAGTTGGCGGTTCATTCTGCTGTGGCCACCCCAGATTAATAAAGGGACTAAACCGAAAAGAAAATGAACTGAAAGTGACTCTCAAGGCAATTTTGAAAAATTCATGTTTGTGTAAAATGATATTGTTAAAATGTTACCGTTTTTCAAAGATTTCAAGCAAAATACACACAAAAATATATAATACATACACAAATATATATAAGCACCACATTAGTTGCCTATTTTTCGTTGTTGTTGTTGATGATGAATGAGGATATATGGTGTGGTATGTGGAAGAATAAGCATGAGTGCCCTTAAGAAATGAACGAAGCCAGTATTCAAAGTTCTGCTGCAATTGTGACATCTAGTGGCCATTCCATTGAACAGCCTGTCTGTGTGTTCTGTTTTATTCAAAGGAAGGAGGCGTCAGATGTAAAATCCACAGCAGAGATGGTGAACGAGGCCCTGCAGCATGCTGAACGTGCTCAGAACTCTGTAGCCGAGGCACTCAAACAGGCCGCAGTTGACATCAAGGGAACACAAGACCTGCTCGTTTCGGTAAATCTTTGTTTAGGAGCATTGCAGTTGGAGGAATCAGGGGTGCTCAATCCTGTTCCTGGAGATCTACCTTCCTGCAGATTTCAGTTGCTACCCATATCAAACACACCTGAACCAATTAATTAGGATCTAAACACCACGTGATAATTACAGGCAGGTGTGTTTGATTTGGGTAGCAACTGAAATCTGCAGGAAGGTAGATCTCCAGGAACAGGATTGAGCACCCCTGCATTAGATGATTTGTAACCTTTATATGAATCTTTTGTACAAAAGGTGGAGTCGGAGACATCAGACTCTGAGCTAAAACTCAGCAACGCCACCAGAAGACTCTTGAAACTGGAAAGTGATGTAGCGCTGTTGAAAGAAAAGGCTCTCAACACTTCCATCAGCGCCAACAGCACAGAGAAAGAGGCTGAAAGCATTAATGCACTCGCAGAGCAGCTCAAAAAGGTACCCGTTTAATCTGGATGTATTCCTTCATCTTTCTTATTAACAAGGGGTGCAACGCTACACAAAATTGATGGTGTTTAGCAATTGCACTAAAAAGTGTTTTCTCCCTTTAACAATATACATACAAATATATTTAAGTAGGGGATGAGCTAAATAGACAGGTTAAGCTTTGTTTTAAAGGGCCATGAAACCCCCTTGTTTTAGCAGGGTGTTTTCACACCTCTACTTTGGGAAAAAGTCAGAAAAGTGGGCGTGTCCAGCTCTGTTTGGGGGGGGAGTGTCGGAGGAACTAAAGAGGGATGGTGTGGCAGTGTCTATTTTGGCACGCGCTGAGTTTCAGAGTCAAAATACACACACACACACACACACAGGGGAGAAGGTGACTGTGTTTACATAAACATCTGTAGTCGAACTATTTGCCAAATTATTAAATGGTGGACTTTAACTGCAGTTTGGGACTTTCATTTAGGGAATTCATTCATGCTCCTCGCGACAAACGAGATATTTGATACACTTAGCTGTGTGACTGCATGTTATTGTGTTAAATGATTTTAAATTAAAACATGCGTGCCAACGTATGCAACTCATGGTATATATTTTTTTATTTAATAAAATACAATATAATATGTATATGTATAAAATGCAAAATAAACATTTTTAACAAAACATATTTATTTATTCTTATTATTTGAAACTTTTAATAAGGATAATTTCAAAAATAGTTTTGGCACAATGGCGCCCCCATGTGTGGGCCCCCTATGCACGCATATACTGCATACACCCTTTTTGCGCCACTGGGTGTTTCAAAAACTGGCAAACATCTGAAACATGCTCATAAATAAATTAAGAACTAATACTAAAGCACCAAATCAACATGAGGTGTTTGTGTCACTCTCTCACACACACATGCATGTGTAGTTGTCTTTTTTTTTTTTTTTTTTGGATTTTGGCACAGTAACTGGCTGTTGGCTGAAATTGGCTGTTGTTTGGCAAAAGCAAACAATTTAAAATATGTCAGACAACAACAAAAATACAAAATACAGAATAATTTTGATGTATTACAATATATATCAAGTGAATATACATCATCATGTTGTGAAGAAATGGTTTCTAAATCATCAAGAAATGAGTAATTCCATACAAATGTCAATCTTAAGTTTAAAAATGTACGTTTTCACCAAAATACTGAAACCCTTTCTAAGTCTTTTGTGTTGGATTGTATTATACAGGACTGTAAAATACTCAAAAATGTCTGTCAGTGTTTTCAAACAATTCTATTTGATTTACCAAAGTTACACAAGTGCTAATTTCACATCTGTCACATTCATAACAGAGAGACATCACATCCATAACCAAGCTTTTTTCCTCATAAATACAAAAAAGTCCAAATAAAATCAATAATTTTTGTTCTATAGTGAGCCAACTCTTATTCTTTTGATTAGTGTGGTTTCTTTTGGGTTGTGCAGTTGAATTGACAGAATTTCTACAAAGTATGTTGTATTTTGTAAACTTTTTTTCATCACATCCATAATACAGGTTTATCTTCCTTATTTAAAATCTAAAAAATGTTTACGGATTAATATTTTTCTGATCCTATAACTCTGTGGTTAGTTGTTTTGGAACATATAAACAAACCTTTCAATATAATGTTAACATATACATTCTCTGTTAATTAATGTTCTAATTTTTTTTTACTGCAAATGTCACATCCATAACGCTGGAATTGCTCGAATATAACCTGAAAATGAATGGGTGTCTATTGACCTCTGCTGGATAGATGTAGAAATTGCAATTTCTTTTTCAACAATGAATCCTAAACTTTGTTTTTCTAACCACAGATGGCAGTATTTTATTCCTAAAATATAAAACATTATCCATAAAGTTTTTATTTTCAATTTAGGTCAGAATTTTTTATTTATTTATTTTTAAATAAAAAATAAATATTCATAAGCCAAGCTATGGCATAGTTGCAAGTTTGTGTAGTAAATGTATAGAAAAAGTATAAAATCTCCACTCAAACACTGCATAAATGCCAAGTTGAAAAGTGACTGTAAAAGTGATATATAGTTTATCATATAAAAATTAATATTTCACTATGTAATTGGTCTGTAAATGTTTGGGGTCAGGATGACCTCAAGGAACCAAACGCCTGGGCTGCTCTAGTGTTAAATAATGTTAGGGGCTAGAACAAAGCTGCATATTTATGACAGGTAACAATGTTGATTCAAATTTTTTTATTTAAATTAACATTAAGCCAATTTATTAAAATAAATGGTTTGGCTTTGTCCAAACTATCCAACATTTCCGTAATAATTTAAACAGGTGTTATTATACCTTTCAGACATTAATGGGAATATCACTACCCACATAGAAACATTTTTCTGGCCCAGATCTGGCCCACAGTAAATTACGGTACATGATTGGACAAAGTCTGGCTTTCATAAGGACTAAACATGGACCATATCTGGGCCAAGTCTCAGCCAAAACCCAAGACTGGACCTGAACTGGGCCAGATATGCTGTTGCGTCACGACTGCAATGAATTTGATAAACCCATGAAGCATTTCGCTTTATGGCTGTGCTTTTTCTCGAAGCGACCTGATTGACAGAATTTTTCTTTTTTTAAAGATAATTTAAATGTATTTTAAAAGTGGGTCAAGATAAGCCAAACATACATGGCGATTTTTTTCCCCTAGTACAAATCTGACCCACACTATCAGCTTTTGCTTGGCCCAAATACAGCAGTGAACTACAGTACATGATTGGACCAAGTCTGGCTTCCATACAAGGGCCAAACTTGGACAATATCTGGGTCCACTATGGGCGTGTTTTTTGTCAGAGTGACCTGATTGGTAGATTTTTTTTTTTAAATTTCTTTAAAAACAATTTAATTGTATTTTAAAAGTGGGTCAAGATGGACCAAACTTACGTGGCCCACATATACATTTTTAACATTTGGGCCAAATAATAAATTTGATATCTGGTTCATGTCTTGTGTGCCGCCTTAAAATTGCTGCCACTTCTCCAAAGCCTGGGCCATTTTTGGCCCACATGCTGTATGCCAGTGCCGGACGAATGCCTGCAGTCCCAGCTTTATCCCAAATCTGGGCCAGAATTTTTGCTACCTGGGTATTGCCATCACTGCAACACACAAACATATGTTTCTATTCCATTTCTGCTTGAAGAATGTAAACACTCGTCTGCCTCCACACTAAACATTTTTGTAAAGGAGAGTCTGCATATTATGCTGTGTTCACACCAGACGCGAAACGCGCGAATAAATCGCGCTGTTCGCGCGTAAATTGCCACGTGAACATTTGAGTTTACTCTCTTCATTCCCGCGTCAACCCCCGCTTCATTTGCCCGTCAAATCCGCTTCAATCGCGTGTCAAATTCACTTCAAAACAGACGCGGATTCACATAATGGGCAGGGCTTCTGTCTGCCTGGTGACTCTAGCTTCATAGCTAAATGGCTAACATGTATTTTATTAAGAAAATAACAGTGTTAATGTGCTTTATGGAGACTAAAAAACAGCGTCGATACGTTTAGGGTCCTGTATGAGTCCACTGCATCCTTTCAGAGGTGCATCCAGCTCTGTGAGCTCATAAACTCCTCCAGAAACTGAACCTGGATGACGGAGACTTTTAGCTGTGCCTCTGTCTGAGCCAAGCCCAGTTTGATGACTTGTTGTCAGTGTCGCCTGGAGGATTTGCCCCAGGACACCATCAACAGGTTGTACGTCACAATCACGCCCCCACAAGAGCAAGCTTCTGATTGGTTAACGCGGCACGAATGTCCGCTGAAGTTCAGATTTTCGAACTCGAGAGATTTGCGCGAAATGCTCGTTAAGCGCGTCAAACGCTCAATTCGCCTCGCGCGTATCACGCTATTCGCACCGCGCAATCCGCACGTATCACGCCACAGGATGTCTATTCGCGCGTTTGCATTGACTTAACATGTAAATCACTCGCGCTTGACGCGCTTTCCGCGTCTGGTGTGAACGCAGCATTACTGAGTGCCTGTCTGCATGATGGACTATATTTTCATATTTTAGTAAATGTGTAGTTAATATTTGTAAATCCACCCATTACACCTCAGGTAATAACTCATGTTTGGTATCTTTAACCTCCTGTGTCGTGGTTTACGCAGGATCTGGATTCAGAGCTGAAAGACAAGTACAGTACTGTAGAGGAGCTGATCACACAGAAGGCTGAAGGAGTTGCAGAAGCCAAGAAAAGAGCGGAGAAACTCCAAGATGAAGCCAGAAATCTGCTTCTACAGGCCAGCGAGAAACTTCAGCTTTTGAAAAGTAAGTCTGCAGGTCTGTTCTAATGGCTATAAAGAACACATTGGCTGGTTTGTATGACCCACATCTTTCCCCAGGGATTTCCTGGAAAGTCACTTCATTGTGGACCTTCTGTGCAAAGGGACCCTTCCTTTGTTGAGAAAACAAATCACATTTATTACATTAAATCATTTCCTATTATTTACTTTTCTAGTATCAGGGTTTCTGCAGGGCTTTAAAAGGCCATGAAACCCCCTCGTTTCAGCAGGGTGTTTTCACACCTCTACTTTGGAAAAAGTCAGAAAAGTGGGCGTGTACAGCTGTTTAGCGGGAGTGTCGGAGGAAGAAAAGAGACTTGGTGAGGGAGTGTCTATTTGGGCGCACTGAATTTCAGAGTCAAAACACACACACAAGGGGAGAAAGTGACTGTGTTTACATGGACATCTGTAGTCGAATTATTTGCCAAATTATTAAATGGTGGACTTTAACTGCAGTTTGGCTCTTTCGTTCAGGGAATTCATTCATGCCCCTCGCGACAAACAAGATATTTGATTCGAGGAACTGCTTTAAGCGTGTATTTTTCATGCAATGTTTGATACCGCACGGTGAATGAGAAAAAAAAACTCTGCATTTCCCGGAAACTTAGATGCACACGGCAGGTACTGTCAGAAAGCCGCGTGTGTTATTCCGGTCACAAAATCCTACACAAGGTTATAGTTTGGTTGTAGTGCTAACTTGTTTACACTCGGTGCAATAGTTTTTTCGAAACGAATAAAATACGAACTGAATAAACAGAGCACTGGTCGCTCACTTACCAAATCTGTAGAGGCAGGACAATCACCAGCAACTAGAGCCGCGTCTTTATTAAGAGGAGAGTACAAGCGAATCCGGATCTCAGCGTTTGCAGAAAAGAACAGCTCTCAGGTAAACAATGTTCCTCCTTAGACACGTAAGTTATTGTTGTCGAGCGTCGCGTACACTGTTAATCCACACGTGACTCCAGCTGCGCTCTCACAAAGAGAAAATGAAAACAAAACTTAACTGCAGCAAACTATAAAAGCAACACTTCACGCTTGTTTTGCCAACACAATGTGGTGTCTCTGTCGTGTAAACACTATGACAGTAATGAATATTAATGAAGTTGCACAATAGAGCGCGCTGATTAGTTTGAACCAAGCCTTACTCATGCATTAATGCAGCACACTCTGAGACGTAATAAGACTCACTCTGGCACAGACGTCCAGTCTGCACGCTGTAATACCACGCTATTATGTCATGACCGTGACGCAGCTTCAAAAATTCGTTTCAAACCGGAAGTACGAATTTGCTTAAAATAACGCAAAAACAACCAATTTACACTTTTTAGTGAAATATAGGTGTCCTAATAGTTTTTTAGCAGTGTGGGACACATATACGACTGTCAACAGCTCAAAAAATGTGTTTTGGTGTTTCGTGACCCTTTAAAAAATCTTAAATTTAAAAACTGAAATTTTAGGCCTTAAAAAGTCTTAAATCCGATGTTCTAGGTGTAAAATATTTTTGCACAGGTCTTATTTTTCCGATGTCCATGCATCGCTACATCTAATGCCCATTTAAATTCTTTTTTTGTTGTTGCTGCTTGGTTTCTGTGGTGTTGTAGTTCTTTATTTCACTAGTCCTAATGTAATTTGCTGTTTTACAACTACAAATGAGACCAGCATGCAATAGGCAATCAGCTTTCTGTTATTGAACTGTTGAACTATTGAATGTGACGTCATCGCTGTGTTTGCGGGCGTTTGCTTTCGGTGCGCGAATCAACAGCTCAAAAAATGTGTTTTGGTGTTTCGTGACCCTTTAAGATGTTTTGCTTTTCTTTTTCTGTAGTTCAATGGTGCATCCAACCTGTCTTTAGTACTGTTCAACTTAAATACATTTATTTTATCACTAATTTAGTGATTTTGCATTTTCTCTCGCGTTTTTGATATTGTGATATAGGTCTTAAATTTAATACTTAATAGTCTTAAAAAGTCTTAAATTTGACATTATGATATCTGCAGAAACCCTGTGGTATATTCCACATACTGCTAAAGTAGTAATGATATTGAATTTATTTAAAGATTTCATGATCATCTCTAGCCTGCAGGCAGCGTCACACTTCAGATGCATTTCTACAAGGATGATTTCTAGGTTATGGTTATATAAACCTAAATGAAAAAGCACTTCATATCAGCCCTTTCCAGTTAAGTTTTAGTGTTCTCACTTACAATGAGCCATGTCTTTGTTTTGTAGATCTCGAGAAGAACTATGATCAAAATCAGAAGCTGCTGGAGGACAAAGCCAATGAACTGGTGGATCTGGAGAAAGCTGTGAAAGAACTACTTCAGGAGATCAGTCACAAAGTGACCGTCTACAGCACATGTCTGTTTTAATCCTCTACAGAGTGCATTAGGAAAGTAAATTAAATAGCCTTCTGTGTCCAGTTCCAGAGAAGGTTTTGTGTGTTTTACAACTGTCCAGACGTTTTCTTTTTTTTACTGTATGGATGGATGTTTCACATGCTTTTGTGACCACAGGAGTGTCGTTTAAATTTTAAAATATGACAGACCAAAGAGTGAATGTAAAATATGCCCAACCTACCTATGAGACTGCAATTACAGTGACCTCGCTTTTTCGATTTAGGATAGTAAAAGTAATGTAAATACGTCGCAGTTTTCTACGTTTCTTTTAAATCTGGAGCAATTTGTTAATTCCATGACAATTCAAACAGAATAAACTTATTTAGCAAAACTTATTTTGTGTCGTGTCATCCCTCCCAGTGCATTTTTAATGAAAATCTATGCAATGGAAAGAGTGCTGTGGAAGAATCTTCCTTTTTCGGAGTTATTGTGCTGTACTGAGCTTAAGTTATGATGGACACACTGACTTTCTTAAATTTAGGATTTGTCAGATTGTTTTAAACTGTAATGCATGCCTTTCATTCTCAGAGATGGGTTGCGGGTGGAAGGGATAACCATATGCTGGATACGTTGCCGGTTCATTCCGCCATGGCGACCCCGAATTAATAAAGGGACTTAATGAATGAATGAATGTATACCTGCCAACCCTCCGGTTTTTCCAAAGCGACTTACAAATGAGGACAAGGAAAGCAATTTACACAACTATAAGAGCAACAATAATTAAGAGCAACAATGAATAAGTGCTATAGGCACTATAGCACATTATCTTTGAGCTCAGCCAAAACACGTTACCTGAGAACAAGTAATAGATTCAAAAGACCAATGTCGGGGAATAAGTTGTTAGATATAGACAACAAGATGAATTAAATATCATGTTTAACAAATATAGTAAGATTAGATCCAGCGGTACATCCTTGATGAACTGTCTGACGTGCACAGCTCTCATCGCAGCAGCGCATGCCAGAGTGTGTGTGTGGTCACCTGATGTGCGTTTTCAGTAGTATAGTGTGGACGGAGAGTTTTTCAGAAACACTACACTGCAAAAAATGCTTTTCTTACTCAGATTTTTTGTCTTGTTTCTAGTCCAAATATCTACAAATTCTTAAATCAAGAATCGTTTTCTAGACAAGCAAAACATATTGCCTTGTTTTAAGAAATAATATGCCAAAATGAGGTGAGTTTTTCCTCAAATCAAGCAAAATAATCTGCCAATGGGGTAAGAAAAATAATCTTGTTTTTCGATTTGTGATAAGATTATTTTGCTTACTCCATTGGCAGATTATTTAGCTTGATTTAAGGAAAAACTCACTTCATTTTGGCATTTTATTTCTTAAAACAAGACAATATGTTTTGCTTGTCTAGAAAATGCTTCTTGATTTAAGAACTTGTAGATATTTGTACTAGAAACAAGACAAAAAAATCTAAGTAAGAAAAGCAATTTTTTTCAGTGTAGGTGAAACGCTTTTCATTTTCATTCTAAAACACCATTTTAAAACTAAAACGTATTAGCGTAAACGGGGCCTAACACAGAGCAGCAATGTTTTAAAATTAATACGGCCTCTACAGCGTTTTCACAACAGTCCGTTGGAACGCCGATAGAAGGCGTAATGGTAGAAAAACTTAGGCCTAATCCCAATTCTATTTTTGTACCCCTTCCCCTTGGCCCTGACAATCGAGGGTTAAGGGGAAGGGCTTCAAAATTAACCCCTAAGAATTGGGACAGCACTACAGCACAGTGTTGCCAACTTAGCAACTTTGTCACTAGATTTAGCGACTTTTTAGACCCACCAGCGACAAATTTTCAATAAAGCGACTAGTGACAAATCTAGCGACTTTTTTGTGTGTTACTGGAGATTTTATTGTCATTTGTCCATACTGTACCGTCCATACACTTCTCAACGAGCTGAAGGTGATGCCGTCAGCCCCTCCTTTGCCTTGAAGCCCTGACAGTCCTCGTACGGCAGTCATTCCCACCTGCAGCCTGACGGCAGATCACCCCTCTGCGTACCGACGGCAAATGATTTAGCACTGGCAGTGTGAAGGTATTTCCCTTGTACAGTCAAACCCATCTGCTGCTTTTTTATTTTACAATTTAAAATTGACTGTCTATTCTTTTCTTGTTCACAATCACAGATATTTTAAGTGGGAGTTTCTGAACTTGAAGAGATTACTGCAAATTCACTACACATCTATAATGACATACTGTATTCAAACAGCAACAAATTTAGTTAAATTGACATGCTTACATAAAGCGTAGTGCAAATAAATACCCCTTTATTAACTATAGGCAGTTAAACAAACAGAAACGGTAAAACGTGATGACGTCAGTAATATGCAAACTGACCTATGATGTAATCTAGAGACCTTAAGCGACTTTTCGGGCAGAGTTTAACACCTTTTCATTGAAAATAGTTGACAACAGTGCTACAGCACCTGCACACGTCGACATATGTCATCACGATCTCTGTCATCACGAGATCAGACGATCGCGACTGCTGTAATTATTCCAGTTGTGTTTTTTGTTTGGTATTTATCTTCAGGAAATCACTGAAGGCAACAATATCAGGTTATCATAACGATATAATGTGGCAATACGATCACAACTTTACTGTGTATTTACACAGTGACCATATTCATCTATAAAATACACCAAAAACAATATTAACATTTTAGCAGAGACTGTAAAAAGCTCATCTCAGCAACTAGACATTACTGAGAAGGTATTCAAGTGTCATTAAGTGTCAGAATGTTGTGGGTCTGCTGTACAGGAGTTATTATTAGGGATTATAGATCGCGAAAGTTAGTTTTTTTTTTTTTCTTTAAGAGTTCACACTTAGCTGATGATTGATAATAAAGCTAGTTTGGCGCGCTGTCCTGGGAGAGAGCCCTGAGCTTATAAGATCCTCGAGCCCTGGGCTCCCTCCCGTTGGAAGGCGAGAGGGGAGTTTGAGCTCAGGTAGATCTCGATGACTCCCCCCTCTTGCTTGTTGTAGCTAAGTGTCAGATATGGATGCTGAAAAGTGTACTCAGAGTTTAGCTAAAGTATTTGGATTAATTGTTTAGAGTGGGAGGAAACCGGAGGACCCGGGGAAAACCCACGCGACCACGGGAAGAACGAGCAAACTCCGCACAGAAATGCCGTCTGGTTTGGAAAGGAATTGAACCAGGGGCATTCTTGCTGTGAGGCAACAGCGCTAATCGCTGGCCACCGTGACGCCCGTTTGAAAGGAGGGAAAGTAGGGTCGGGTGGGAGGGTTTCTTCAAGACGAAGAAATTGAGATGAGAAAAGTCTGGTTATTTATAGTGAGTTAAGGATCGTCTGATAGGATAATTAGTCGTTAGCTAAAGTTGGAACAGCTGTGAACAATCATAAGCACGTGATCCTCTCGAAATTTATAAATAAACTTCACTTAAAGCATGACCGTAAAACATGAACGTGGTTATGAATATATTTAAACGTGTTTGTTTGTCGTAAAAAATTGTAATAATGTCAAAAGATACTAATTTGTGGATCTGCTTACTTCCGGGTTCAGCAATACTGCCGTAGTGAAAAGTGAAAATTTTCGCTTGGTTTCCAGTGTGATCCTGAAAAGTCTTCATTCAAAAGGATATGTACCCCTTCCCCTTAGCTCTACACCTTCAAGCTAGAGAATTGAGACAGCCCTACCCCTTGGCGTGAATGTGTAAAACGATGGGGTAAGGGCTAAAGGCTGATTTATACTTCTGCGTCAAACACCAGCATATGCTACGGCGCTGACGCATAGCCCTTCGGCGTGGCCGTCGCCGTTACTGACGTGCACCTCTCAAAAATTGTAACTACACGTCGCAACGACGCGTAGCACAAGCTCTGTGATTGGTCGGCTTGGTAGCGCTGACGAGTCTGGGTGGGACCGAGAGCCGCGCGAATGGCGCGAGCGATTGTTTACAAGTGTGGAGTCCCGTGAAGGAGCTCCGGATGGAAAGTTTTGTTTTGTGTTGCAAGTTGTTGCACGTCCGCCGGTTTCTGCCTCAAAATGAGCGAGTTTGAGCCACTTGTACATCCCGGAAGTGTTCAGGAAAAGCAAAAAAGCAGCGAAGAAACTCGACACAGAGGAACAGAAGTATAAATGCACAGCCACGCGCGTTGCATGCGCCGTAGGTTACGCCGGTCACCTGACGCAGAAGTATAAATCAGGCTTAAGGGGTAGAATTGGCACTTAATGCATTTTAAAATGAAAACTTATTAGTGTAAACGAGGTCTTAGACAGCTGTGGTGAATGCGTCTGTGAATGAAGGTTGGATTATGACATGAAGAACATCTGATAAAATTTGCCAGAGTAGTTGGCAGATCCTTCCTCTGATGATCCCTTATATTAGGATAACAGGACGTCAACTGATAACAGTGAGTTTTTATAATTCACAATATGTTTAGCCATGTGTGCATTCCCTGTAATTATCATTATTTATCACCATGACAAAACAGGCCAAAGACCACACACGTTCATGCTTGTTCATATTCTTATGTGTGTGGGATACAGTGTAGGTGTGTGTGTGTGTGTGTGTGTGTGTTTATGTAAGTCTCATTTTTAGGGGAAGCAGTCAGGTTGGCCCCTGCTGGTTCAGCTGTTGGCAGTGTAGTGCTCTTGGGGGATTCGAGCCCCTCTGCTGACCCTAAGGCTTACAAAGAGGGATTACAGCCTGTAATACTATCTCATCAACCAACCATCAAAACACATGGATGGACAAAACTTTAGAAGGGCTGCACAGAATAATGATTCAGACTGTTTTGTGCATAAATGAACAGAAAACTGAATCAATTCACTCCTTTTTTGTTATTTTAACATTTTAAATGTCGTTTTAGAGTTTAATATGAGATGATTAAAGACAGTAGTGACAAAGTGATTTGCCTGAGCATGTCCACAAATACATTTGACAAAAAAGACTGTGCTCTATTAAGGTTTTGTATTCGTCAATACATGATGACATGTAGAGGT